GTAGGTGATTGTTTGTTTGTAGGTTCGATTAGGCTCATTTATTTAAAACTCGATAACCATAAATGAACCAAACATGAACCAAACACAATCTAAATATGAACATCTATTCTTTTAAACGAACTAAGCTTGAACCCTAACAAAAAAGCTTAAATCGAGCTAGAACCAATCTTGAACAAGCTAATAATAAACAAGTTCAAATATGAACAAGCAACTACTCAGTTCGTCTCGGTTCTGTTCATTTGCAGCCCAACCCTCTAAAGCTAGTTATGTAACATGCAAGTTAACTTGGTGAGTCCGAGGTTACTCCAAGCAAGTAGGCAAATTTTGTAATGCGGATAAGTACATTCATCGACAACGAGCACTCCAAGTGAGATCCCTTTGGCAAGTATGATAATTGAGTACTCTCAATGAATGGATAATATTTGATTTTTTTTCAATTGAATTTTATGACTTAGTTAAGGCTATCTCTTAGGCGATTTGTCAGTGATGTGGCCCTAGGTAACTTCTTGTCAAGTGAAGCTTCAGGTGACTTTCTGGTTGTGAGTAGTTCGAGCTAGTTCAATGTTCAATAACTTAGATCGAGTTCAAGTTTACATCATGACTTGATTAATCTAACCCAAATAAATATTTATTGACAATTTGTGTTTATTGCATGCAAAAAATTTAACCTGGAGGATGATGATTGATTTCATTTGCATCAGCTTTTTCGATCTCAAATATAATTAGATTAGTAAAGTAGCATAAAGGAACGAAAGTTTTCATATGAAATAATCAAAAAGAAAAAAAATTATGTGGATCTGCCCAATTAAATGGCTTTTAATATCTTGGAATGGAGCACAAAATATCGCCTTTGTCTGGTTAATTTGAGCTATTAGAGGTCTTGTGGGGACGTGAATGGTTAAAACTCAAAGCTACGGTCCATATTTCTAGTGGCGAGAATATTAAAAAGGCTATGATTGTCTGCAGTGAACTCAAAGGTGGCAACAACACAGGCTTAAAGGAAACAACAACGGAGATAGCCAATGCCCACGACTATTAATGAATAGATGGGGATGTGATTAGGTGTTGGTTTATTAGAAAATTATGTGTGGTTCATTCATGAGTAGTGACTAGTGAGTTTATTTGAGATGACAACTTTAGTTAATTGGTAGTTACAGCTATTGTGGTGTTTGCTTCCAAAACTTCTGGGAGGATTCTGATAGGTCGGTGCCAACACCGACCCAGCCGGCCCCACGTGGGCCGGCCATGGCGGACCAAAGGCGGTTTGAACCGCCTCTCCCAAGCTTGCCGCCTAAGCTTGTAGGGCCCACAACCCTATTTTAGGCTTGCCTCCCAAGGTGGGGTCCACTAAGGAATTTAAAATTTAAATTAAATATATTTATGGAAGGTGAGAGGGGCGGTTAGGGGCTATGAAAGCTTATAAATAGAGATGAGGAGGGAAGGGTTAAGGCACGCTTAGATTGGTGAAGTCTTGGAGGCTCTTGGGAGTTTTGGACTCTAGACCTTGCGTCTAGAGATTGGGAGAGAACGATCCTCCTCTCAAATAAATGATCACTTGTATCTTTTCTTATGTTTGATTTGCTTAATAAAAGTCCATTGTTTTCGGGTTGTTTAAGTATCTTTCTTGGGTATTATCACAGTTTTTACCAATTTTTTATTAGGGTTGCTTGTGAACTCAAGTAAGTCCGATATGATTACTTGCGAACTCAAGTATTTCCTATCAGATTCGAAGTTGTCTTTTAAGTCACTTTCCAACCAAATTGATGTGGGGTCTATGTATAGACATTATGAGAGTTATTTTAATTTTTATCAAAAAAATAATAATCACACCCTCTAATGATTAAAATATAATTGCACATTGCCGCCCCCCCTAGGCTAATCAAACCGGCTTGCTTTGGCTTGTATTACTAGAGTGGCCAACAAGAACCGATGATGGCTGGTATTGCTGATGTGTGCAGTTGGCAATTTGAATGCACCAAGTGGCAATTTCATAAATATGTTCATGGTCTCGATGCAAGGCACTATTTTTTTTCTTGTTGACACATTATCCCAAGTTTGTGATTATTGGTCTAGTCAAACTGAGAAAAATCAGGCTCAAGCTCAATGCTTTTGAATTTCACTGAGATGCTTGTTATGCATTGAAATTTGTGGGTGATCAAATATGAATTTTTAACATCCTATTTGTGTACACGCTCTAAACTACTCTTTTTATTGGTAGTGAAACACTATAAAATATTTAGTATGATTAGAAAAATGGCCACAAGAGCAAACCTGAGGACAAGAGAAAAATTGTACAAATTCAAAATATAAGACATGAAATTTAAGGTTGTTCTACAAGATTGACTCATGCACAGACTCGCTAAGAAAATATTTCACTATAATAAAAAAAGGGTGCAACAAAATTTCGCACATTATTTGAATAGTTAGGCGTATAATAATAAAGCAAGGGATTTGGAGGAGAATATATCAAAAACCTTGATTAACATTCCTTTTAACAATTCAATATATTTCTAGCATCGCTGAATTTTCTTCAAACATTACTGTGTAGCAATATGTCAGGCCGGCCCAAGCTGAACCGGTCCCTTCTGGACCGGTTCATTGCTACAAGAGGTGGACCCTTAGAGGGCGGTAGAACTGGGAGGTGGGCGGAACAGGGGTGGGGCCTGATCATTGATTGGAGCATGGGTTTAGGAGGGAAAATTCAAATGTGGGTGCTGTTTAGGGATTAGTTAATTGTATTTTACTTTAAGTAATTTTCTTTTGGCTAGGGTTAGGATTATCTTGAATTTGGAGGTTGAATTGGAGATCTTGTGTTTTGCTTTTAGGCTCTAGGCTTTGGCTAGAGAGATGGAGAGTTGAATCTTCCTCTCGAATTGAAGATTCATTGTATGAGGTTGTTTCCTTTCATCTATTAGTGAATTTCAAGTGTTGTTTTAGAGATTTTTCTACAGTTTTTATCAAAATCTGCTCGAACTTGCTGTTTTAATCTGAATTTCTGCAAGTTTTTCTGTTTTGGTGGTTGTTTTCTATCACAATAAAATAGTTGTGCTTACACTCCATGCTGGAAACGCATCTAAACAAACATTAAAGACAACAACAACAACAACAACATTACGATCTAAAATCTTATCTCCAAAAATATTTTTGTTAATATTCTTTAAATGCCCCCATCTAATCCTAGAAAATTGTTTTACTTTATTTTTTATTTTATGCCCCTTTATCTTAAAGTCCAACATTAAAGAGCAAAACAAAATTTTTTTTTCTCTTTGACTTCTCACTTAAATGCCTTCTTCTCTCCTCTTCCTCTTTCTCTCTCCCCTCATTCCTCTCCTCACTCTCTTTTGTCTTCATTTAACACACCAGCAATGCAACTTTTTTTTTTCTCTATTTTAAAATAAAAGAAACCATGAGGTGCGGACTGCATGCATTACTTGCGGACAGTATGAGTACATAGCTTGTGTACTTTTTTTAGTATGCAATGAGTACATACTTGCTATGCACTAAAAAATTGAGTACATAGGCGAGTACTTAGTTGTGTATTCTAGTACTTCGCACATAAAACTGTTTTGCATAGTACACACCCAATAATTTCTCTTAAAACAGGCGACCACTTGTTTTTTTTTTTTCTTTTCACGCCCAATTAACAAAGTTCTCTGCCTCTTCTCATAATCACACGTCATGAACCAGAAACTAGTACAGGCTGCTGGTTTGACCGAGGAAAAAGGGTACAGACAACAAATCATCTCAAAAGAAAACATAGAAAAGTTTCTTGAATTTTAATTTATTGCATTTATTCATGATGCTTCCTTTTTTTCATGAATTCTATGCTTACCTTGTGCAATTAAGGTTAGGTTACACCGATTAATAGGCTTGACGAGGGGTGGAACCCTCTCAATTGCCCCCCCCCCCCCCCTAAAAAAATTTATTATATTATTCTTTAGATAACTTATCACCCTCTATCTATTTTTGTTTTTATTACAAGATTTTTTAGGCAATTGTGATAGGAAACACGTGTAGATCGCGAGTACTTCCTATCAATCTTCTCAAAACAGCGAAAATCTTCACAATAACCCGCACCAATCCACAAAAACAGTAGAAAATTTATATTATTTGATGAAAGGAACATGAAAAATAGCAAGATACACTTGATCCTCTATTCGAGAGGAGGATCGATCTCTCCCAAATCTCTAGGCGCCGCTATTGCCCAAAGAAAACCTAAATCTAAGAGATCTCAAATTTCAGCCAAATTCAAGATATCCAAACCTTAGAAAAATCAATTATTTAATGCATACAAATCAAAAGGAATTCCCTAAACAGTCCCTACCTTCAAATTTCCCTCTCAAATCCCTAAAAAATCCTTCCTAAAATGGTCCGCTTGGGCGGTCGGGACGCCCGATCTCCGTAGGAGGCGGAGATCTCGCAAAATGTCGGTCCTGTGCGGACCAACTGGACCGGTATAACAAATTGCCCCCCTAAAATTTTTAAAATACTATTGATCTTTAGGCAATTGCCCCCAACAAATAGTAAATAGAATTCATCATTTTATTTATTCATTTGAATTCCAAAAATATCCTAACAACCAAAATTTGTTATGGGGGCATTGCTCATTGACCACGCGACCTAATCGAGCAGGTCGAAACTCCGCTAGGGGGCGGCGGGGCGTTGCCCCCTTGGTTCCCTGATATATCTGTGAAGCATACGACAAGGATATGAACAAATAGGGCTCGCTATTGACCCATTTTTTTGTAGTGAAGAATCTTCCCCCCCCACACACTAAAATTAAAGTTGGTTCTGACCCTGGGCTTTACTGAACTGTTCAGACTGCTTATTTCAGCTTCCTTGCACATTAACTAGTTATTTGGTATAGGATGAATTTTATTACCTTATATTAGCCTTTACATATATATTTTTTTAGAAAAGAAAGCAAGAATGTTAACTCCATCGTGTTATTTCCGGCAAATTACAGACTGAACACTTCAATGCATTTATGTGCTCTGCAGCTCTCAATGAAGCGCTGACAACGGAGGTCCAGCACCTGAGGCTAGCTACCAACCAGATGGATGATTCACTTCCCAAGCAGATCAAAACAACAAATACAATCAAATCCTAAGATGTGTGAGTACCAATACCATCATCATAAGCAGAATACTCTATCTGTCCTCGTGAGCTACAGAACTATAGTTATTGCTTGATGTGCACCTGTTGTCTGTGTCGTCTTCTCTATGTTCCTCATCTCACGGCAACTTTTTCGAAAATTTTACTTATTCGATTGATTGTAACATTAGGAAATTTCATGTCATTCACTGATGCAAGGGTGTTTATTTTGTACCTCTTGATAATGTAAAAATTTCTCCATGGAAACTTCTGAAATAAGAATCAGATTATTCGACCAGTAATCTTCATTTCATGAATTATGACGATTTTTATGGGTTAATATGGTCAGACCGGTCCAAATAAACGTTGATTTTTTATTTTTTATTTTTTTTAATGAAGAACAAAGACTTATATATTATTATCTGATTATCATGAAGTATAATTTGGGATGATTTTCTTCATGTTTCTTAAAGCAATTTTTTGTTAAAAAATTAAAAAAAAACATATAATAAAAATGCTTTAAGAAGTACTAAGAAATTCATCCAAAATGAAGCCTCTGTGTAGAGATGTCATTGAGTGTTTCAAAAGAAAATCTTAGATATTGAAGAAAGAAATTATCTATGCAAACTGGTTTTTTTTTGCAAAGATAGAACAAGATTGAATCGACTGAAAGGATTCTTTTGGGATTTTAATGAAAATCAGGTCAAAATCTGTGAAGCTTTAACCATTCCAAGGCTCCGTTTGGGATGGCTTTTTTACTGCTTCTTCAAGCCGCTTTCTAGTACAAAAATTTTAATTTTTGTACTAGAAAATTATTTTAAGGAGCAAGAAGAAAACCGTCCCAAATGAAGCTTAAATGTGCTGAACTGTTCGACATATTAGCTCTTTTTTAAAATTTTAGCCTGCGGTGCTCCTGCTTATTCCAACTATGAAGCTGCTCATTTTCAAAAATTAGCCTTTGACAGATGGAGTAGATATATTTTTTTAATTATAGGAGTAAGTAAAGAGGGTTTAGTCATAAACTTTAGTTAGAAAATCGTATGAACTGAGTATGAGTATACTTTCTTTGTTAATGAAGCTTATGGCTTTCATTGAAAAGGTACTTATGTCACATAAGGAAATAGTTGGGTGTTTTAATTCTATCATAACCATGGATAATATTATTGGAACTTCCAACAATGCAAAAGAAATCAAAGACAATGACACTTATATTTAAAAACATAAACAAAATTTTGTATAACAAGAATAACCTAGGATTAGGCCAAATGCCTAGTAAGATAATTGAAACTTCATAATATAAGGAGTTTCATTAGTAGTTCACCACCATGAATGTCCAATGCTTTGTCAACAACTCTAATATTTGACACTTAGACTTCGTTTGAGATAGTTTTCTTACTGTTTTATGAAGCAGTTTCTTAGTACAAAAATTTTTTAATTTGAAATTTTTGTACTAAAAAACTATTTTACAAAGCAGTGAAAAAAATGTCTCAAATGAAACCTTAACCTTCAACTTATTCTTATGAAAAGGGATCCAAGGAAGAAAAGGAAAATAAGGAAGAGAGAGAAACTAGAGTTCTCTTATCACTAGACTCCTCGAACACTGTCGGACCACCAAGGGTCGCCGAACTGACACCAAATTTTCATCCATCCATTGACTGGCACCAGAATTTGCTCAGCCATCGACTAACACCAAACTTCCACTCGCTTGCTAACTGATGCTGGATTTCCGCATGACCACCGAATGTCGTTAGATTTCAATCCGATCTCCGCTCGTCATTAGATTTCAACTCGACAATTGACTGTTGTAATCTGATCGTCCTCAATTTCAAGGATGAACCAGTTAGTTATAATTTATTCAAATTATAATAGAATCATTTCAACCAGGAGTGGCTTCGTGGTTTTTCCTTTTTATAGGATTTTTTACGTAAAAAAATTTTATGTTTTTGAATTTTTTATTTATGTGATGGATATTCATAAAATGATGAAATGAAAAATTTTATATTAACAATTATAATTATACAGAGTTATTAGTAAGAACATTTGAATGGGCCCACTTTTTGTCGTAGGCCAGTAAATGCCCGGTCCGATGCACGCCAAATTCTTTCGTGTCACTCGGGAGTCAGGGTCATCTCGGCAAAACCCTAACCTTTTTCATGGATTCTCCTTCCGAAGTCACAATTCTTCTATACTATTCCTCCTTGGCAGCCGCTGCGAGCTGCCTCTCCATTATCCATATATCTATCCTCAGGCTCACTTGAGGTAAGGGGCATATTGATCCTGGATTTTATCCCTTCGAAGTGTTTGTCTGAGCTTCTTATTTTGAAGGTCGTGTTCGCCTGATGTTTTTTTTTTTCTTCCTTTTTTGTTGGGTTTGAGGAACAAGGAGAGGAGTGAAAGAGATATAAGATGTCATCCTTCATGTCGATTAGCCACAGTTGGGGTGCGAGGGATATAGCTCTCACTTTTGGGTTTAATTCCCCGAGTCCTGCTGCTACTTGCAATCAGAGGTTAGCTTTATTTCACACTTGAAAGCTTTATGTTGATGATATCGGTGGCAGTGAAGACAATGCGTTTAAATTCGGTTGCTCAAATTTCGATTTCAAAACTCTTTTTAGACTTGTTATTTATCAGTTCTTAAAGATTAGATTTATAGATGCATTTTGCAGTGAAAACTAAACTATAAATATTCCTTATATATTCTTGGGTAAGTATGATCTCTGCGTCATTTTTGCTGTTCATTCCAGCATGATTTGAGGAGGTAATATACCTTCTCCAGTTGGAATTGATATGATAATATATTGGTCTCATGCCTTTATGAACGCAAATGTTGTTCACATTTTGATTAACTGCGTGTCCTCATATATGCAAAGCCTGCTTGGGTTCCTGATATTTTCAGATCCATTCAGCTAGTTTTTACATTTCTTTGTAAAATGATTTGCTGCCGACCAAATGCTGTTTAAGTGATTAATGTTTTAACGGTTCACATGGCCTCTACCTATGCATGCATGCAAAATGAAGCCCATAAGTCATGTTGAGTGCTTGAAGAAAAGAGAGTGCTAATTTTATGGTATTATTTTTAACCTAATCTGAATTTATTTAGATTTAGGTATCTTTATCCAAATAAATGGAAAAAAAAAAACTTATCTAGATAAGAGGAGTGTTCCATTATCTCCTATGCTCGCGAATGATTGGATATTAACTTTTATCAATTTCCTTGGTTTTCTTGTCTATATCTAGTAGTTTGTATCTTAGGGATTTGTTCATTCATCCTACATGATATGAAATGAATCTTGGCATGGTGGCTCTATCCCTCTCCATTTGTCCCCCTCACACTCCCCCTCTAATCAGTCAATCCTAGCAATTTTTTCCACCCTTGGCCCTTGTTCCTAAGAAACCATATATGCCTCCTTTCTCTCTCTTATACACACACACATACTAGAAGAACATTGCTTTCTTTAGATCTCTCCCTCCTTGGGTCGAGGGAATAAGGAAGGGGGATTTGTGTTGTAATTTATCAAGAAGGGAGGAAGTATTAAGGAGGCAACTTAAGGCATGGATAAGATAAAAAAAATAAGGAAAGTATAGCAAGGAACAGAAGGTGAAGTCCAAATAAGAGTAAGGAAGGGAAAAATTGTCTTCAGTAGAAATCTTTTCAAAATTGGATAATACCAAATTTAGGTCCGCTTTTGCATTGTTTATCACTCCTCAAATTGTAAATTCTTCAAATTCACAAAATCTTTCATTACCTAGTTTTAATACCATTTTATTGGCCATTATTATAAGGAGAGTCTAATATTAGGGTTCCCTATTATAAGAGGCTCATTTTGGTAATCATGCAAGGATCTATTTTTGTTGCCCTCAATTTATCAGCCATTGTACTCTCACAACTTTAGGTCTTCAAAGGTGTTCTAAAAATCAGTTATACTAAGACATAAGTGCACATTAACACTAAAATTTGAATACCCTGGTCTTTTATCAATGTGGATTGTGGTTATTTAAAATCAAACAAGTTGGTTGTTTTAATTCATAAGTTAGCTAATTCTTAATGGCTTAATAGGAATCATCCCTGATCTAATATGGATTAAATTGATATGTTGGTCTATCAATATGGATTAGAGTGATATGTTGGTTTAGGTTGGCCTAGAGGCCATAATTTGAAACGTGGATTACTCGAGCTCATTAAATTGTTAAGCAAACTAAGCTTAAGTCAAGTTGTGCTTAAAATATGTGTGTAAGTTTACTCAATGTTTTGATCCTGATCAAGGCTATATCAGATCAGTTTAGGCCTAGTGGGCCTACCATAGACTTTTATGAGTTAACTTGGTTAGCTCACGGTTTAGGTTATATTTGTCAACTTGGGCCCATAATAGGTGATTCACTAATATTAAGTGTGGGCTTAGTTTAGCCTTTTAATATTTATAGATTGTTTTTGAACTTTTTGGAGGACGGCATGATAAATTTCATAAGAATGGATAAAACTTTGTATGGCAGCCTAAAAGGATGAACACTACACAACCTCAATAAGTCTAGATGATGCTTTAAGTTAACATTCGCTAAAGGCTTCAAAACCACATCTATTGTATTCCAAGATGGATCTTTCTATATTAAAAGTGCACTTATTTATAAGTTTTCATAGCCCAACTTGGTTGTCTCTTTGATCAAAAGGCTGTAATGGTGTGACTTGGCACTAGTGGTCTTAAAATAATTTGGCAACATAAATTGTTGCACTTGATCCTCCCCAATCATTTCCCCATAACCTGTGTTTCCTTTTGCTCTAAAACCTTTCTTGCAACCAATAGATCAACATATTATGCTTCATCAAATCAAAATGCTTTAGTAAACCTTATAAAATCAAAGCAGGGCCATCTAAAATTACACCTTGCAGCACATCCACTAACTCTATTCATCTTCAAGACAAATAATGTAATTTTGCAAATCTTAAGGACCTCAACATCTCTAGAGAACATGTATCCTGTATTACTAAAAGCACTTAAGGATATCATATTCTTTTTAGATCTGTATATATGTAACTCTTGGCAATGTCATAGTCTCACCACCATGCCTTTTCAACTTCACAGTGACCAAATAAACAAACTTGCGTGCAATTATTTCTTATATAGACATAGTTAATTGGGCATTACTTGTAACTGAAAAGCAACCTTTTATTAAGACGCCTAATTTTAACAATGATGAGTTGAGCATCCATTGCTCTTTGCATCAATCTTCATAATTCATCCATGAACATCACTTACATTTGTATTATAGACCAATTTACAACAACCCTTACATTTTAAAAATTTTTCTTCTTACGATTGTCTTCTGCACGTTGATCCTATTTCAATGCATGATAAATTTTCTTTATGTGCTCGTTTTACTTGCGATAAAATCAAGCTTAATTCTTGTACCTGCTACTAGATTTGCTTTTATCATGATTATAAGTATACACCTTCTTAGAAAATCTCTCCCTTAATCTTAATACTAAACTTATAATCGTTTAGTTGATTTTTCATCTCAGGCACTTTCAATCTTCAGAAAAAGTAACCCTTTGGTTGATTATAATTTACTATATTAAGAGGGAGGCAAATAGCAGGATTGTCACAAACTTTGGTCCTTAATCATTATAAAAAATTACATAAATATTCCTTAAATCTTAAGTAATAGAATTGAAATAATTTAGATGCGATTTGTGTGCGAACCTATTTGAATGCAAAGTAGATACAATCTTTTCTTTTGATACATTTGTCGCATAGGCTTTTAGTAATGTACAAAATTTTAGTTTGAGCTATAAATCTTTAACAATTTCCTTTATGATATTTGATAAGTCCTCGTAAATATAACTAAATCTCATGGTCTCAAAAATATGGGCATGCTTTCCGATTCCTTGAAAAGTCATTGCTATACTAAAAACCCTCACATCTTGATTCTACAGTGCCCAAAACTGTTTAGCTATCAAAATTTTCAGCATCAAACTTCATGGCCATTGTATTCTTCGCAGACCTTGCTTTAAAACCAGTTGCTAGAAAAAAAATCCCAACTTTTATGTGGAAGAGTCAATCAACAACCAGTATGATGAACCACATAGTAATCATATAGAGCATACAAGATAGACTGTTACGATGTATATTGTTGAATTTAAAAAGCCTACATCCATAGTCGCATGGAGTATTGATGGTTCCACTAAATCAAAAAGGAGTATACATTACTAGAATATTGCTCTCAATAATATTGCCTTTATATTTACTTTAAATCTGCATTAATATTTATAATCTAATCTTGATCAAATCCTAAAAATTATTTGTCTTGCAAAATCCATGATTTTGAGGGAATTAATATAAACTCAACAACACCACCAGCAAGTTTGGCTATAATATTATCTAGATTGACTATACGATTAGAGGTCAACCATAAGTTATATTTGCTTGATAACTAATGTTGATTTGTTGGAGCAAATGAAGTTAAAAGTAAGTGCTATGATACCAAAAAAAAAAAAAAAAGTGCTATGATACATGATGCTCTTTCATTCAATTTGAGCTTTGTTAATAAGCTATTTTGAAAAGAGAGGTTATTTTCTGCTTTGGTTTAACCTATCTCATACCAACCTGAGTCTTAGTTATAAACTGTTGCATTTAAAAATAAGATATATTATCTGAAGTTATATGGGTGAAATATTTTATCTTTAGAAGAAAAAAAATATTGTATTAGAAAAAAACAATTTATGGAAAGAAACTTTCTATAATGCATTGAGTGGCACCTGCATTGATCTGATGTCTTGCGCTTGATATTCATTTTTTTATGTGTGCATTCTATGACTTAGTTTTCTTCAATTCTTGCTTATATGCAGGACTGGAGTATGGAAATCTCCGGAGGCAGCCGTTGCTCAAAATTTTCATCTTCCAATGCGCAGCCTTGAAGTTAAAAATAGGTATTTTTAGACATTTCAAGAAGTATTTTATTAATACCACAGTTGCATAAAGGCGAAATAGATGGATGGATCTTAATTTCTTTTCCATACTAATAATTTTCCTTCCTAACTCAATTAAGATCATATGTGTGGATTCTTCGCTTATTAATTTGAAGAGACCGTTTGTTGTGTCTATTCTTCACGACATTTCAGGTACTTGTTCATACTGCAGTTGTGCAGTGACCAAATAGATGTTGAATGCATCTTACTCTTTCTTGACCATATGATAGGAAATACTTGATTTCAAGTAGTTCCTAACCAAAACTGAAGCCGAACAAGGAGAAAACTGCTGTCTCCAACAGTGGACAGCAACTATGCGCAGGAAAAAACAGTGAATATTGCGAGAATATTGAGAGACAACGCAAGCAAAGACTTGTATTTTTACTAGTAGACGAAACAAATAGCAAGATACAATTTGTTCTTCAATTCGAGAGGAAGAACGTACTCTCCAAAGTCTCCGGCGAAGCCAAGAGCCCAAAACAAAACCTAGATCTCAAAGAGAAAACTCAAATTCAAGATGATCCCCCAATTCCCCCCCAAACTCCCAATTATACAAAATTAATCATAAAGGACAATAATAAACTTCCTAAAACAGCCTTCCCATTCAAAATTTCCCTCCTAAACTCCCCCCAAACCGCCTACGTGGATCTTGCGGTGTTCCGCCCCGACTGCTTTCTCCGCCTGGAGTAGCAGTGGACCGGTCCGGGTTGGACCGGTCCAGCCGGCCCCTCCTGGGCCGGCGTAACACCATACTATTACTTTTCCTACTTCACTCAATGGAGACCAATGTCTATTTTTGCTCTGTATTAATTTAATATCTGGGGTTTTCGTTTGTTCAGTTATTATGGGTTTGTTTTTGGACATCTTGAGTTTCTCCGGTACATATCTTAGTCTACTTCTCCGGACGAGTTATTTTGCTTAATTCCGTACTTTCAAACCATCTTTGTTGTATAATGATAGAAATTTTCTTACCGTTAGTTAATGAATGGATTCTTGATAATGTATGCTCCTACTTTTTTGAATAAATTTTGATAAAAGTAGGTTTAGCTGTCCGCCATTAAAACTAAACACTTTTTTCCCTTTTTATAGCCCTGTAAACAATCATGTTTCATTTTTGCCATACCCATCAAAAATCTCCATTTTTTTTTCTAGGGATTTACATACATACCACTATATACTACTCTATTTACATATCTAGCACCTAAAATTTTAATATTACATACATACCACTCATTGTTCACTTTCATATCAAATATGAGTGGTAGAAATGAAATATATGAGTGTTAGAATTGAAATATGAGTGACATATTTGATATTAAAATAATATAAGGTAGTATGTATGTAAATTCCGCTTTTTTTTTTTTTCATCTTTGGTGATGGTCTCTGTGTCTTATATGCTGCTACAGAACATCTGTGGATGACATAAAAGGTCTAAGATTAATAACAGCCATCAAGACCCCATATTTACCTGATGGGAGATTCGACCTCGAAGCCTATGATGCCTTAATGAACATGCAGATTATGAATGGCGCACAAGGTGTAATTGTGGGAGGCACAACAGGTGAAGGCCACCTTATGAGTTGGGATGAACACATAATGCTCATTGGACACACCGTCAATTGCTTTGGCTCTTCAATCAAAGTAATAGGAAACACTGGAAGCAACTCAACCAGGGAGGCAATACATGCAAGCGAACAAGGTTTTGCCGTCGGCATGCACGCCGCCCTCCACATCAATCCTTACTATGGCAAAACATCTTTGCAAGGTATGATTTCTCACTTTGAAACTGTTCTTTCCATGGGACCAACCATCATCTATAACGTACCATCAAGAACTGGACAAGATATTCCTCCAACTGTTATAAGTAAAATATCTGGAAATCCTAATATGGCTGGCGTCAAGGAATGCGTAGGAAATGATAGGATAAGGGAATATGTGGATGGAGGAATGGCGATTTGGAGTGGCAATGATGATGAGTGTCATGAAGCAAGGTGGGCTTATGGGGCTGTTGGAGTCATATCTGTGACGAGCAATCTTGTTCCAGGTTTGATGTATGAGCTTATGTTCAAAGGTAAGAATACATTACTGAATTCCAAGGTGATGCCTTTGATTAAGTGGCTTTTTGGCGAGCCGAATCCTATAGGCCTTAATACTGCTCTAGCTCAGCTTGGGGTGATCAGGCCTGTTTTTAGATTGCCTTATGTTCCACTTCCTATTGCGAAGAGAATCGAGTTTGTTAGAATAGTGGAAGGAATTGGAAGAGAGCATTTTGTTGGAGATGGGGATGTGGAGGTTCTTGATGATGATGAATTTGTTTTAGTTGGTCGATATTAGGTTGTTCTGGATTAGGTTCTGGATGATTATTATTTATATGACTGTTTTGGGAATGTACTTCTGTGTAGACATATCAAGTTTTGTTTGTAATGTTATCAGTTGAATTGCTATCAATAATATTTTGCTTGGAAATGTTGTGAATTTGTTATATGTTCTGAAAAGAGTGTCATGTAGGTGATCTTTACATGCAGAGAAGGTAACCAAAGATACTCAAATATAATGGACCAATGTAGAGTTGTCATACCCTTGTGAGTAGGGATGACTATTTTTTACACGACCCGAAAACCCGAGCTGAAAAATTTGGGTTCGGGTCCTATCTTTCGGCATGTTTATATTTCGGGTCGGGTTCGGGTCAATTTGGATCAAACTCAGGTTGTCGGATTGACCCGTTTAAGTTAAGTTCAGGTCGGACTTCTCGTGGAATCGAGCCATATTGCAGCTGCAATGTTGCATGTCGAATGCCTCGAACGTTGTTGCAACTCAGTCGATGCACGCTGAACCACGTTGCTGTCACTGAGCTGCACTCGGACGTCGGACCGTTGGTCACTCGAGCTCGACCAGACCAGTGTCTAGTCGCCACTCGCCAGTCTACCTCGACGGCTAGGCCACTAGGGATAGATGCACTCGCCGTTGGCCACTCGAGCTCGACCGACTCATGCTTGTTGACGGAATCACAAGCGGCAAGCTCGCACTCACGAGTCACGCGACAATGACTTGACCTCGACGACGGAGTTGGACGGACGACCGAACCTAATCATGTTCGCGGTAAGGGTTGGGTCAACCCGTAACCCGCGTGGTCCCAAACGAGAATGTTGGGCAAACTACTTTAAGTTAGTGGGTAAAAATCAACTGTAGAATGGGAGAAACATAGGTGATGTTCTTGTCAAGAGCAAGAATTGTGAAAACCACCTTGTTGAACTCATTGAGACTTAAGGCTTCATTTGGGATAGTTTTTTTACTGTTTCTCGAAAGCTGCTTTAAGAAACAATAAAAAAGTCGTCCCAAATAAAGCCTCACTCTTCTCTTATGAACTTCTCTTATGAAGCATGGAATAAAGCTCAGTTCTCACAAGTACTTATTCAGGGCTTAAGGAAGAAAGGTTTTTTAGATGCTTTTTTCAAAATATATTCATGAAGGTTTTGTTTGGGACGATTTTTCTACTGCTTTATGAAGCAATTTTTTAGCGTAAAAATTTTAATTTTTGAACTGAAAAGTTGCTTCAAGAAAAATTAAGCCGAAGTCTAAAAGGTAGTCAGTACGTCTAAAAGGATGCATTACTATTTTATGAGCAAGCTTTCAATAACTAAAGCAATACCTAACAATTGCCTTGGTTCTCAGCTGACCGAGGAATAACAATGACCTTTTCTTTTCATATGAATAATAAACTATATTATGATACCCATAATCTAATTTGAAAAATTATCGATTTAGATCTTATAATCATCTACAAGAGCCGCTAATAATAATCCATATAAAATAAGAATACAATGGAAGTAAACTTTTATCTTTCATTTCATCTTAATATGTATATTAATTTCAAAAGAATTGTTTATAGTAGTCATGAATAAATTTTTTAAATCATCTTATCTTAATACATTTTTATGACTATAAACTTGTAAGTAGAAATACATGAATCAAGAATGGATCTGATTAGCCTCATTTCATATGGTCTTTGCTCATAAAAAATCACAATGAACAAAAATTCGGTAGATTATCCAAACCTACCATTACCCCCAAAGCACATAAATCATGATAATAAGCATGTAATCGTTCAAATCAATAGCAAATCATAGTCATCATGGATTCATATGCATATGAACATATCAATATAAATAGTTGTAATAAACATGAATAGTATCAATCAGTATGAATCATAATAATGAAAGAGATCAATAATTATTGACTTAGTTCTATCACAACTTACTAGGAACAATGCTATAATGAAACTATTATAAAAATCATATAAGATAATATAATGCATGCCGGTATCATGAATGTCACATAAATATCATTTCTATGTCCTATCATATCATTTATGTATTATATGACTTATGCATGTTCATGCTATTTTTAATCATCCAATCATCATATCATATATCAGGTGTATCATGCACTTACACATTTGTAATAATGCAAGTCAAAACATCTAACTAATCTTATGATATTTTTCTATATCTTATCATAACATATTATGTATCAATGTGTTAGGTGGCTATATTGTAAGAACTGTCACTCATGGCCATTGTTGTATCTTATCCACTTATACATTATATATTATTTTTGTTTCTTATATTGGGATTACATAATAAACTATTATTTAAAAGAAAATTTATTGACCCACCCTCTTGCACAAAAAAATTATTTTGTGCGGATGCCAAACGTTGTCTGAATACCATTCAGAATGTGGCACGTCACCTATGCTCGGTACCACAGCTCGGTATTGCTCGGTACCAAGCTCGATACTGTTGATGTGGCTGCACCTGATTAGCCTCCGGACGTAAAACTGTGTCCGGAGTCCGCACAAAATAATTTATCCTCTTGTGCAAGATATGTTGCTCCAGCCAACATGGATTAGTCTATAACTAGCCAACATTTCTTGCAATTATACACACATGCATATGCCACATCGTAATAATATTATATGCATAATGTATTATATGGGTATCCAGTGCAATTAGCATGTTGAGCATTATTATATGTTATTAGTAGGCATATTTATCATTACGGTACTCATGTTAGTATGCATGCATGTCATATAAGTTATACCGTATGCATGTTATGCCAAATCTTTTGCTTTACTGTGCATGTTACGTTTGTCACCTCCAAACTAAATACAATTATTTTTACTTATTTTATACATGTTTTTATCTTGATTGTCTTAGTTAAAAGCTTGTAAATTCAAAAATAAACCGTGAAACTTTAATATAAATATATCAAAATGTTTAGAACGGTTATATCTATCATATATTAAAAGTTATGTGGTGAAAATTCATTACAACGAAAAATAATGCATTAGCTAGATTTGGGAGAGATAGAAAACTGAAATTCATAATCACTAGAAATAAAAGAAAGTTTTGAGTTACCTAGTACGATAAGAGAAACATTCACAATTGGGAAGATGAATGCAAATACTCCGAAGGCGAACTTCTCTCTCCTCCCTCCTCTTCCTCTCTCCCATCTCTCCTCTCTTCTCTCTTCTCTCCTTCTCCTAAGATGAAAAGAAGTTCTTACAATATAGATGCAAATACTCCTAAGATGCAATTGGGAAGTGTCTTCATGACGGTTGTAACCTTCTTTGATTGCTCTACATTTGATAAAACTTGTAAAGAAACAAAAAAAATCTTCTCCTAAGATGAAAAGAAGTTCTTTCAAATTTGAATAATAGATGAAAACTTAATTATTTTCGTCTTTAAATAGTGATGATAATAACAACACTATATGATGATGACAACACAATAATTTTTAAAATGATTATTTTTTAAAAAGTATAATAAAATTATTATTCTTGTCCTACATTAGATTTCAGGAGAGAAGTAATATGCATTTAATTTTCTATCTTTTTTTTTTTTTTTGGAAAATATTTTATATCCTTTCGCTTTGCCTTAAAACTTCATGCGCCGGGCCATTATATTTTTGTTTTTTGGGGTGATAGGCAAGAAGGAACTACTGCAGATTTTTTTAAAAAAATAATAATTTCGATCGAGCATGGCCGGCGACGAAGAAACCTGTATGGCTGTATTCGTCCTAAATCAATTTCCTCGTTGTATTTCTTGGCGTCATCTTCTTTCTCACAATCGCTTTTTTAATAAGATTATATATTTATTTATTAATTTTGTTTGGAACTCGCCATCGCCCGCTCGGTCCGCGTCCAGATCTGATAAATTCCCTGTTTCCGGAAGGTTTACAGCTGACTATGAGCAATGGCCGTGCTTTTCTAAAGAGGAGACCAGTTCCATTTTTACCGTTCATTGTATCCGTTGTCTCTCTATCTTGAGATCTAGGGTTTCATTTCCCTGGCGGCATCTTTACGGTTCCGCAACATTGGCGTGCAGCGAAGGAAAAAAAATGACGTTCAGTGGTTTCTCTTCTCCTTCAATCTTGCCGAGGACACATGGCTGATTACTTTCCCGAACAATTATCCTTTACATTGGCTATTTAAAGTTTTTATTTCTACGGGCGTTGAGCTTGTGCCGAGCAGATGACTCTTCCATCGGAAGCCATTGATGATATCTTTGTTGCCCATTCGAGGGGGGGAACGGGAGATGCCAATGGGGATTATGTGGGATTGGTTCAGTCAGATGATGTGGTAATAGGGGTGCAAGCTCAATTAACTTCAACAAAATGGGATTCTTTGTTATGGTGGACGAAGTTGGTTTTCTTGTGTATTTTTCTGGCAATAGTTACTGCTGCTATTGTTGTCTTTCTTGGACCGATCATTTTAAGAAAGGTCCGTGCCTTTTCTCTATATAGGATTTTTTTTTTTTATTTGTTTGGAACTTTAAAGTTTGCAGCGGCGACTGCAATAAAGAAAATTGCTTATTGCAGAATCATTTTTAAAATGATTTGTTTATGCATCAAGCTACATTGATTTTAACTGATAGAAGTGTTTTGTTAATTATGCTTCGTATTATCCTCATGAAACAACAGCCTTTTTTTACCAAAAAGGTGTTGGCTCCAACCAAAACAAGATAGTTGAAAGGGAAGAATATCATAGAACATGTGGGTTTGAAAAGATTATAATAGTAGGAACCCTGTTAATGGTACCTGATTTAGGTAAAAGAGCCAATATTGCGTTGACTAAAGTTAGGTCTCGATGGTTTTTACTTGAAAAAAATTGAAAAGGATTTGGATGGGCAAAGACAGGACATATAGCAAGAGGGAGGTGTTGCAGGTGTTGGCAGTGTAGTGTGAGATGGCAAGAAGAGGCCAAAATGAACTAATAAAAAATAAGGATGTTGCTAAGTATTTTGAAAACTTTGGAGCCTGAACGTTCCAACTAGTCTAGATTTGTGGTGTATCAAGGAAATCTACCTAGCACCGTTTAACATGATGCTATGGAAAACTTTATAAATTTGTAGGTTTGAATGGTTTTAAAGGGTTGTGGGAGGGGGAAAAGAGATGAAAATGATGGTTTGGGGATAGGAAAATGGTCATTCTCCATCCCCTAGCAAGCAACAAAAGAATGAAAGAGGATGATACAAGGGGAGGGGTGTGAGTTCGAAGACAAATAAAGGATTAGGAAGACAAGGAAAGGAGGAGTACAAGTACTCTAGTTGGTCTTATTATAAAACGGGCCAAGAAATCCTTCGTAGTTTTTGTCAACAAAAGGACGTGAAGATTGTGGTCGGTTTGGATGGTTTGAATATAGCGTGGAGGTGAAACTATGAGAGAGAAAATACGATGGAAGATTATAGAAGTAGGGATGCGCAAGATGAAAAGGGCGAATAATGGTGGTTTGGTTTAGAAAATAGTGATGGGAGGAAGAAATAAAATAGAAGAAATTGAAAGCTGAAAAGGGGGAGAAGCTAACTTTCATGGGAAGAATGAACTTTTCAGTGGCAGTTCTAACCATGGCCCTAATGCCTTTGAAACTTCTATTTTTGTTTGGATAAAATTTTCTCATATTAATTCATATAACCTACAATTTCTATGATAATTTATATTTTGTGGCATGATTATGCCGAAAGATTTGGCTTATTTTTATTTTGTCCTGTTTGAGCAATATTCTCATATGGGTCTTTGCAGGTGATTGTACCTATTCTAAACTGGGAATCAACAACATTTAGCATACCAATTCTTGGATTTTTACTTTTTACTTCAATTGCATTATTTCCCGTTATATTGCTACCTTCTTCACCTTCTATGTGGATGGCTGGAATGGCATTTGGCTATGGTTATGGCTTTCTACTGATAATGTTAGGTTCAAGTATTGGCATGTCAGTTCCGTATTTGATTGGTTCTTCATTTCGAAACAGAATACAGGTTAGTTTTTGCTTTCGAATTCCTTCCTTTATTTGTCTTTGAGGCACTTTTTTTTTTTGTTCTCGTATATTTATTATTATTTTCAAAAATATAGAAATGGCTGAAGAGATGGCCAAATGAATCAACAATTATCAGACTAGCTGGTGCAGGAGATTGGTTTCATCAATTTCGTGCAGTTACATTAATAAGGATCTCTCCATTTCCATATATTATTTTCAACTATGCATCTGTGGCAACAAATGTGAGCTATTGTCCCTACATATGTGGATCTTTGGTGGGTATAGTGCCAGAGATTTTCATAACAATTTACAGGTTAGAATAGTCTTCATAAAGTATTGATTTTTTTTATGTTGATTATTAGACCCTTAGAGCTGTTATCGCCATTTTTTGAGTTTTTATTGAGCTTGTCTGTTCATTGAACCAACCAATTTGAAATCTTTATATGTCCAATTGATTATTTTATATTCAGTTGTTCTATTCTTTCTTTTTTACTAAAACCAAAGCTTTCTCTTGATTTTTTTTTGGTAAGAATTTGAACCTTGATTAAAGACAACAATACTCAACCAAATGTTTGGTGGTTGCTCCAAATTTTATACTCAAGATCTTGCTTAGGTTGTTTAGATTATTTTGCTCTATCAATTAAAGATATGAAGATGGGCATGATTGTTGAAACCATTATTATTGTTTTCATGATAAATTGTTCAATCATGTGGTTGTCAAGTTGGATGAGATGCGCATCTTTTGAAAAGTGCTAGGGCTGATCTAATGGAAAATGCATTAGATATAAGGAAAGACTACACTTTAATAGCCTTCACCCTAACAAGGTTCTTGGAGTAACTCAAAAGAAGAGATGCTTATACTTTTTAGGGTTTTCATTTTTTTAAGGGAGTTATAATCCTAGACTTCGCATTCATTTATTCTCACTGACTTATGAAATCACCCCCCTCGAGTTTCATAAAATGAATGGAAAATTTTTCTTGATTATTTGGTCTTTGATATTTCTTGATGACTGCATGCTTATGTCCTATAAAATAATCTATACTGTTATAGCAAGTTATCTTGATTTGTCAAAACCTTGCTTTATTAGTAAAATCTCTTTGATTTTATTAACAGCATCAGTATTCAACTTAAAGGAAATCTATATATCCTCGATGATGGAGATGGCTAAGAAGGCTTATATTATAATTGACCTTGTTCTCGCAGTCTCCTCACAAGAATGAATCTACATATCTAAAGCTTGTCATCTAGCATTATACCTTTTGATCTTGCCTGGACGATTTGCCAATCTATTTAGCATTTGTTGACGCTTTCTAGATATATTGCATGGCTTTACAAAACCTTCTCCTTATCTTCAATGTACCGCCTCCTTGTAGCACTATTTATTTGCCTTTACTTTTTCCATATGATCCTTCACAACCACATTCAAAGAATTTTTTAATTTTGCTATATCTATACATGAAGGACGTGTAAAAACACCATACTAATCACTTTAATATATGTTAAATTTGAACGATCATACGATGGCTAAGAAGGCTTATATTACAATTGACTTTGCTCTCGCAACCTCCTCCTCACAAGAACGACTCTACAAATCTAAAGCTTGTCATCTAACATTTTATCTTTTGATTCTGCCTTGACGATTTGCCAATTTTTTTAGCATTTGTTGACGCTTACTAGATATATTGCATGGTTTTACAAAACCTTCAATGCATTTTGTCAACACTTTGTTGCCTCGATAAACACTCGTGAAGCTAACGGCAACAGTGCATCATAACAAAGCAATATTTGATTTTATTCACTTATAAGTAGATGAAAGGGTAAATATCTCTATTAGCTTCCACATTTTTTATTTGACCATAGGCCATCTTCAACAACCCAGCACGTGACACCCATATCTTAGGTGACCCATTAGTTGATCTTATTCTGGATCCAAACCATGCTAAATTAATAAATAGTAATAGGCTGATCTACAACACTGTCCTACTTGTTGATCCAAGTTGGACAAATAATATCTCATGTCCTCACCTTAAAAAAGTGTGAAACCAAGGTGCAAGTTTCATGCACTGTTTTGAATGGCAAAAAAATGGAGGAATCATCTTTTGGATTATTAATTCTCTCACTTTAATTTTTCTTTTTCTTTCTATTTCCTTGAAATTGGCTACTTTAGTTTCAATCTTTTTAATTATTTATATTATTTTTAACTTCTGATCAGTTAAATGGCATGGGGGAGAAGGAATCCAAAGCTTTGGGAACATGGCGAAGGGTTATGAAAGCACGTTGAGAGGGAGAGTAGGATATGTTAAGGTTCTTAAACCTTAATTATGGTTGGTTTTCAAATTAATCCCAAAAACTGTCTGCTCACAACCATGCTTAAGCATTTAATTCTTTCAATCAAACAAATATCTCTTCATCATTGAATCATAGGATACCAATAATAAATGCGAGAAACAAGAAAAGAGGGAAGCTTATTTTGAAAAACATTAATTTTTTTCTCCACAAAATCCCTCTTAAAAATGCATGTGGTCCCCTCCATGAAAATTTTAGAAACAAATTGATCACTAGAAAATTGAGTGATCCAATAAAATCTTTGATTTTAATTTGGAATCTTCAATTTTGGTTTGATTTAATGTTTCCAGAATGATTTTGACATTTAAAATTCCATTCAATTCTTGCATGGCCGATCCCATCCACATCATAGAATAAAAGAAAATATAATGGAATAAAATAATATATTGATTACCCCTTATTTGTGATATGGTGAACCCTATTTGTCCTGCATTAGCTCTTCACTTGATGAATTTTGTTTTGTAGAGTTAGAAATATTGTAATGAGGTGAGAGGGACAATACTCCATGTGTCTGTATAGGTGGAGGAGTATTATAACTTTAGGTGCATCATGTGGTAACATATTTGTAGTTTTTAAGATAACTGATAATGACAACAATTGTAAAGGTGACCCTATATCTCCTATAAGTAGGATTGTTTTCCAATCCCAATGTTTTGTAAGTTCTTTAGATGGTGATGTGTTAGTTGCATTGAAAATATGATAACATCTAATCTGCTTAAATGTAAACTTATAGGATAATCATTCAGTCTAAGGTTCCTATGTATCTTATAGTATTTTGAAGTTTTTTGTATTGAGAGTGAATGTGACAAAATATAAACACTATGAGTATACTAAGTTGATGGATAGTTATTATAACTGTTATATACTAATCATTATTTATGTTAAATGATTTTAGTACATGTAAGTAAAGAATTTGAAAAATCTGTGCTACTAATAATATAATAGAATGAAATGACTAATGCATTAGATTATCTTACTCGATCTAGAAAACTTTCAAACTTGGCCGATAGCAAAAAATGGACTGGAATTGTCAAAAACTCAACTTTCTCTCACTAGAAACGCTTTCTCTCAATCAAAACGTTTGGGGGTGATTTAATTTAAAAGAGAAGTAGATGGATTTTAATATTTTTATAAAAAATTGACTTAGCGTCGTAGCGCTCTACCCTGCAGCGCCAAACTCTGCAACGTCGTAGCGCCCGACCCCAGGGTTGCAACATTAGTTATATTTTTTCAAAATCATTAAAGAGCTCAATGCCGTAACACTGACAATCCAGTGATGTGGAGCTCCCAAGAGAAAATTTCCACATTTTACATGCATGCACACAAAACCCATAAGACCCGCTTCAGAACAGTTTCAGATAATCACATGCATATAGAACACTCACAGACTTACCCTTAGGGCATCTCCAACCGAACGCTAAACGACTGTATGGAGTCGTTCCCTCGCTCCAACCGAACTCCAAAATTTTCGCCATTTAATCGCAGGTGAACAGTGCGACGCCAATATTGGCGTCGCACTGTTCACTCACGCCATTTTTTCTCTCAACCCGAAAAACGCGCGAAAGGGAGAGCGATCGTTACCTTCTCAAAAACACCTAAAATGGCGTTCGATTGGAGCATCCCGCGCCATTTTGGAGTTTTTGCGTTACTTTGCCGTGAAAAATGAAGTTTTCGGTTGGAGATGCCCTTACCAGTCGAAGTCAGAACAGGCGCCACTGTGTCCTGCTTCACTAGGTATTACAGAGACGATTCTTTTTTTTTTTCCTGGTCTTAGACATGCACCATGTTCAATACATCAAATAGGATGTTGGATCCAAAGTAATATGTAAAGAATTTCAGGGCTTTACTAGAAAATGAATCGCGCCTGCTGTGCAAGATGAAGTGGGAAAAGCGAAGTCTCATAAAGTATCTTATAGAATCACTCTACAAAGAACTTAGTCAAACCCCTTTGAATAGAAAGTGAGTCAAACTGAGTTATAAAGAAACAATTAAGGGAAAAAAAAAAAAAGATTTTGTGTGAGGTTTTCATTTAATTGCATCAGATTTCATGTGTTTGCATCCATCCATTAACCCCTATTTAATTGCTGGAGGCCAAGGTTGATACTACAAAATTAACAATTTTTTACGATTAATATAAAAAATAAATAGGTTGAACTCATCATAACTTGTAGTTTCATGCATGAGTTATGCCTAAAGTTAACTCTAAGCAGTTGAATATTGAGCAAGTACCCTCAACAAGCTCTTCTGATGAGAACCTTTAGTCAGTCAACGGGTACTCGAGGTGAATTGACAAGTTCTTCGAGTGACTTCTCTTAATGGGTTCACAACTTCTTAGGTTCTTTAGTTGAATTCAGTCACTTAATATTGATGATTGAGCCCTAGATGATTGTTCTAAGATATGTGTTAGGAAATACTTGAGAAATCCAAATAATCCCTAACAAGAGAGAAGAAAACAGCAAACGAACATGATTCGGATGGGAAAATTCAGAAAAAAACAGCACCTTCTGATTAACGGAAATCAAATAAACGATGAAACGAACCAGATACAATAGATCTTCAATTCGAGAGGAGGGTATTCTCTCCCGATCCCTAGAAATCTAGGCCCAATACTCCAAGACAAGAATCCTCAAAAACAGCCACCAAACATGCATAACTCAACAATTCTTGCTATTTAATCCTTCTTTGACTATTCTAGTTTTTGTTGAGCGTATGTAGTAGATAAATATTGCCTCCAAAGAACTGAAGAAGATGGCTAATCCTTGTACTCATTGTGTGTTTCTGTATGAATATGCAGCGGAAGGTTGCTGCGGCGCTTTGCAGATGCTACTGACGGTGGAAGTTTTCTGTCCTTGCAGCAGCTGATCTACGATTTGCTTGGCTTCTTTACTGCTTTATCTGCCACCATTGCCATCACCATTTATTCCAAAAGGACTCTCCATTCTCTCCAGGTTGCGGAGGAACTCCACTAGTTCTCCTTTTAACAGCACGAAAAACATAACAGTACACTCTTCATCTGATTCAAGATTAAGGCTTCGTTTGGGATGACTTTCTTACTGTTTTATAAATCAATTTTTTATTATAAAAATTTAGTTTAAGAAGCAGTAAGAAAACTATCTCAAATGAAACCTAAGTAATGCACATAGAACTATTCACCACTTCTGTATTATTGAATATTTTCTAAGAATATTTTTTTGCTTCAAATGTATCCCAAAGCTTAGTTTTTGTTTTGTTTCTTCCATACAAACAAAAAAATAAGTTGGTAACTTAAGTGCAATGAAGGTTTGGTGAATAATTCTGTCTGTCTCCTTTTCTTTTTATTGAATTTGGCGTTTTCTTGTTCAGGTATCATTAGATGGAGACAAAATGTGTTTACAACTTTGTATTTGTGATTTTCATTTTGGCTTTATAACCATGCTGGTGCTGAAAGTATGTATGTTTTTTTGGAGCTTTCTTCCCTGTCGAAGCAGATTAGGCGTTATCTATAACATATCTATCACATGGAATGGTTCCAAAAGCAAGGCATTACAGCAACAATACACAGGGGCTGGTATCAAGTATTTTCATGGTTCTTTTGGAAACATGTGCGCTCATAAAACCTCATTTCCACTCTAAAATATCATAAAACTTCAAAATGCGATAGGTCATCTCCAATGGAATTTCATTTTTCTTTTTTTGTGCGCTTCTTTTGCGATTGTATTCATTTCTCTCATGTTTCGTGCGCTTCCTGCGAAGTTAAGTAGAGTGCGAAGACAATCACTTTTTTTGGCGTAGGTGAACAGTCTGACGCCAATATTGACGTTGCACTGTTTACCTATCAATTTTTTGCTTGAGATTTAGAGTTTGAATGCAGTGATTCACGGTTCACATAATATGATATATAGTTCGGTTGGAGATGATATAAAATAAGATAAACCGGCACTAAACTATTTGCATGTGCATTGTCTGGTAAGTGTCATTGATTAATTAAATGTCAGCATGTTTATGTTGGGAAGCCTACCCTTACCCCATTTTTTTCACTTTTATTTTAATAGATTTATTCTCTCTCGTACTTTATAATTTTGAGCTTAATTCCTTTATTAGAGATAAAGTTACCTCTTATGTCTTAGGGCATCTCCAACTGAAAATCTCATTTTTCACTCCAAAATATAGGGAAACCAAAAAATGCCGTGATTTATCTCCAATCGAACACCATTTTGCCTTGTAACCGTCATTCCTTAAGTTTGGTAGAAAGAAAAAATGGCGCAGATGAACAGTGCAACGTCAATATTGGCGTCGCACTGTTCATACGCCATCAAATGACGTAAAAAATGACGGTTAGTTGGAGCAAAGTAAGAACGGCCGTTCCATTGGAGTTGCCCTTAGGATCCGGATCCCTAAGACAGTTCTTATTCTCTTTAGTAAGATGAAGTTAATTACAAAGAAGCATTCAAGAGGGGTAAATGATGGAGGAAAGAAAAGAAGGAGACACTCAGACACAGTCCATGAAGCTCTGTCCCGTATGTCCAATATATTCATGTAAAAGTGAGCTTCTCTTACTTATGTATCTCTGTTTATATTTGTTTTAGTTGTGATAAAAGGACAAAATAGATGGAAAATTTTCAAATCGGATCCTCATATAAAAATTAATTTAGATTATATGATATCAAATTTTAAATCAACCAGAATCATGATCTTTTTAACAATTAGTAAATATTTAACTTTTTAAAATATTTCTTCATTTTATTAAAAAAAATACATCATTATATAAATTGCTCAAATTTAAGTGGTTGATTTTTATTTTGCTCATAGCTAATTCTTCTCTTTAAAATTTCTTTTCACCAAAAATCAACTTTTTTATTTCAATAGAATCATATGGATTCTCATTTTTATTAGACAAATTCTTAAATAGTCCCTAGAATATTCATGCATGGCAATTTAATCTCAGATTATCACGCTGACCTAATTTAATCATTTGATTATACAAAATTGATTCAAAATAGTCCCTTATATTGTTATTGTAATATGAAGTTGGTCAAAATTTATTTCTGCATAAAATTGATTCTAATATTGTCTAAGATAAGTTATTTTTGATCAATTTTGTTGTAATATCAGTTCTGCTCCAGGTTCGTCCGTGCCGTGAGCACAAATGGGAGGCATAAGCGGAAGTTCTGGTGCTGTATGCACAAAAAGGGAGCTATAAGGGGAAGAGGGGTGCTATATGCACAAGGGAGATATAAGGGGAAGTTATGATATCTGGAAGGAAGATTTGTTCTGAACTAAATATTATCTGATTTTTTGTACTCTTGATGTGATTGATCTGATTTTCTGATTTCTGTAAGTGCTATCAGCTATGATGTGATATTATAATGATTTCTGTTTTATTTCTGATTCTGATATGATTTCTGATACTATTCTGACACGATTCTGTTCTGTTCCGATAGGATTTGAATTCTGAATTCTGTACGATTCTGATTCTATTGATTTGATATGTCTGATCTGTTCTGTTTCTGATTTGATATGACTTCTGTTTCCGTACAGTTCTGTTTGTTTTGATATTTGTTTAGTTCAGTTCTGATCTGTCCGATTTGATATCTGTCCGATTCTGTTCTGATTTCTGTACGGATTTGTCTGATATGTTGGTTTTGGATTCTGAGAGTTTTGATTGGAGGTTTGTTGCTTTGCTGAGCTGTTGAGCTCACCCTTGCTTTCTGGTGGTTTTTAGGTTCTGGGAAAGGGAAAGAGGTCTTGGACTAGAGTTCAGAGTCTGATCTGTGACAGGTACTTTTGTACTTTTTGATTTTTGTACAGTCATGACTCTTTCTGCTTATTTTTTTCTGTCAGCCATGTACTGTATTGTAGATGATTGTTTTGAGGAAAAGAAAGAAAAATATAGACGATTTGTTCCGCTGCATTTGATATTTTTAATAGATCTGGTCTATTTTGTATAATATTTGGAAGATTCAGTTGAGTAAGCAAATTCCAAAGCCAGATCCTGGTTAGTTTGTTAAGCTGGTCGGGATCCGGCTCGGGTGGGATCCGTCCCCGTCGGGTCGGGTCGTGACATTTGTATAGTCAATTGAATAAATTTGAGCAATATTATATTATAGAAAAAAATTTAATTATATACAAAAGTTGGATGATTATTTTGAAATATAATCTATTTTTATTGATTATTTAGTTTAAAATATTAATTAAATAAATACTATTTTCACTTTAATTATTTTTAAGAATAAAAATAAAAAATCTCGCCATTATTATTTATTACCACAAAACTGATCGGGATCATTGCTATTTGCTACTATCAAATCATGAGCTGGGAGGTTGCCTGCCTCCGCTTAGATCAAGGTTTGTCGTTTTATCTTCCGACACAAGCATTCCCTTCTCTTCCTTTCTACTGCACCATGAGCCTCACAAGGTTTTTTCTGCGCAAATGGAAGAATGATCTACTCGAGTTTGCTTTTCGTTGCGTCAGGAATTGCTTTGTGTCTGTTAAATTATGGAGGAGAATAATTTCTGAATGAGATTGGTTCTTTGCGCTTGTACTTCATGTTGGAGGGCTTATTTGAACGCATGTAAGAGTAGGTGGGAGGTGATAATTGAGGGAAGTGGACTATGGACTCATAATTATAATATTTAAAGGCAATCTTGGGAAGTTATAAGGGATTGTCGGATGGTAGAGGTGTCAAAATTTGACATGATCTAAAAATTGCGAGTTCTGATTAATCCATTTGGAAAGTTGGTCGAGTTCAAATTTTAAATCCTGAACTGATTGCAAATTCAGATCGGGTTTGGATAAACCCGAAAACCAGAAATCAATATGGAGCTGACATGTTCATCACGAAGTTGAACGATCATCCTCACGATCATGATCCATTTGTCGTCCCTCGTCCGTTAGATGTAGCTGTAGATGGGGAGTGATACGGTGTATTTAAAAATTGCTTGATTTTGATCATTTTGATATTACAAAAAAAAAAAAAAAACAACTAAAGATAAATTTCAAACATTTCAAATATTGTTTTGCAATTATTTTTCATCCAACTTAATACTTAAGTTTTCAAAATCTCTATATTCCTTTTAGTTTTCACTAAAAATACTTCAAATCAAACATGCCCTAAGATATTTTATTTATTCATACATGCTTATACATAAAATTAACGTATTATGTTGCATAATATACTAGAATATACATTAAAATGAACACAAAGTATCAATAATTAATTATATAATTTATTATCATATATCATAAATAATATATAATGCAATGAAAATAACAACATCAAGCCTTGATCCCACTATGTGGCGTTGGCTACATGAATCATTTTTCACCATTGTATCATGTTAAGGATCATTCTCTCATTTAAATCTTATAAAGAATGGTCATTTCTAATATTTTCTAAGCAATTCTTTTTATGTCTAAGTCAACCTTTTTTAACATTAGTCAAAATCTAATATATCTACTTTCCTAATTGGGTCATCATAAGACTATCGTTTTATGTGGCCAAACCATCTAAGTCAACTCTCTCTGATCTTATCTTCCACTGGAGCTACTCCAACATTTTCATGTATATGCTCATTTCGTATCTTGTCTCTAAGCAAATGCCACTCATCCACCTTAGCAGCCTTATCTCTGCAACACTTACCTTTATATTATGCTTATATTTTAATGGCCAACAATCTGCATCATAAAACATTGCATGTTTCGCCACCATTTTATAGAATTTTTTCTTAAGTTTGATAGGGATTTTTCTATCACACGACAATCACTTTGCATTCCTCCCCTTCAACCATCCAAACTTGAATTCTACAAATAATATCATCATTTATTTCACCCTCACTCTAAACAATAGACTCAAGATACCTAAAATGAGTACTCTTACTAATAACTTGATCATCAAAAGTCACAATCCCCCACTAGATATATTACTACTAAAATTACACTTCATATGCTCAGCTTTAGAGCTAATCAAACAAAATCATTTAGACTCTAAAGTTGATCTCCATAATTCAAAAGCCTTTGGAGAACCCTGAAAGTGCGGAAGGACAAAATGTCATTTTTTTAAGAATTATACAAGCATAAAAAACATATATTTTTGTTTGAAATGTGTATTTGAGAATACTTATCCCGATAACAGAACAATTTTTTTTTATTAATTATAATTATTTTGAAGTATATAAAGTTGATTTCTCATTATTCTATTAACATAATATATACAAATGTGATATATGAGACCCTAATATTAAATAAAGTTTAATACCATTTTAATGAAAGAAACATCAATGAATTGATTGCAATAGCTTCTTTGAAGTTGGAAGGTAATTTTTCATGGTAAAAAGCTACACTATATAACATTTAAGGTTTTTAAAGAGATGGAATAATACTGTTCTTTTAAAATAAAAAATGAATAATATTATTTTAAATTAAATAAAATTATTCATGAGAGTAACTAATAAAATATTATTTATTTTTATATGGGTTTATTAGTTGACAAATTATTACGTGCGGTGTCCTGATCGTTTGGAGGTGAATCCGGACGTGCCACGTCACCAGGATGCACCAAGGTCGGGGCGACGTGGCGCATCCACCAGATGCACCGGGATGGGAGTGAAGTGACCTGTTCAGATTCACCTCAGAACGATTCCGAACCCGCACAGAATAATTTGACTTAATGGTTTGGGATGGCTTAATGGCTCAACTGTTTAT